AAGTCCTTCCGAAGCGGGCGACGGGATTTCGATTCCGGCGACCGACAGCTTCTTACGGGCGACCCCCAAACATTAAACTCTTTTCCCCTTTTAAGCGCCGACAGTGGCAGACAAGATTAGATAGATTCATCTTAGATGGTTTGGTCACATTTAACATCGACCATCTGATGATCTGGTTAAGAGAGTAGATGTTTTAGATTCGATTTATGTTAAGGAAGGTAGTGGTAGACTTAAAAAGACATGGGCATATTGTATAAAAAATTATCTTAATTCATTAAAATTAAATGAAAATATGACACTCAATAGGACACAATGGAGAAAAAGGATTCATGTAGCCAACCCCACTTAGTGGCATAAAAGACTTGTTGTTGTTGTTCTATTGTTTTAATGATGTGAAGTTCCTAGTTATTTTTAATATGTAGAGAGAGAGAAGGGGACATCATGGAGATTCAATGAGAGTATCTCATGAGCAATTTGCAATAAGAAGACAAGGATTACAAAAGTATTAATTTGCAATTAAATTTATGTGTATAGCTTTGTAGAACTTATGGACTTTAGCCATACAATTTTAGTTTCTATCTCACCTTATCCATCTATATATATATATATATATATATATATATATATATATATATATATTTTATTATATATATATATATATATATTGTATTCTCACAGGGTAATTGATCATGATGTATTCATATAATTATCTTATTATACCACACTGTTCCTATGTATTTACATATCTAACACCTAAACTTTGGTTTTTATATTTTTATCACCCAAATTGTTCTATATCACATCAAAATTACCGTTGTTTTAACTTTTAAAAAGTGGAATGCACCTCTTTCAGCATATAGGTAAGGCGGCTTATATGTAAAATATGAAGTTTTTGTGTTAAGATATGTAAATACATATGAATTGAATGTTATTTATGTAAATCTTCCATTTGTTATATACTATAATGAAGCTTTATGAGTGAAATTTGTTGGCTTTGGTTTTCAGGCTGCAGCAAAGCCACCCAGTACTTCATGTGAAACATGTGGGGAGAGTTTTGATTCCAGGTACTACATTGAAGTGAGGTTCAA